CACGCCGTGGGTGAGCCCCGTGTGCCTGCCCGATGGCCCCCTGGAGCCTGCCCCGGGCACGCCCTGCTACATCGCTGGCTGGGGCTCCCTCTACGAAGGTGGGTGTGGGGTAGGGAGCAGGGGCACGTGGCCCTGGCCTGAGCCCCCTGGCGCTGGGTCGCTGCCCAGCTGGGGTTGGGGCGGCTGCTCCCTGGTGTGATGGGCTCTTGCACCTGCAGAGGGGCCGGCGGCCGAGGTGGTGATGGAGGCCCAGGTGCCCTTGCTGAGCCAGGATGCCTGCCGCGGTGCGCTGGGCCGGGACTTGCTCACCAGCGCCATGTTCTGCGCCGGGTACTTGTCGGGTGGCATCGACTCCTGCCAGGTACCAGGCGGGGAAGGGCCAAACTGGGGGTGGAGGGAGAGCAAGGCCATGCGCCGTGGGGCGTAGGCACTAGGAAGCCCCAGCCAGGACTCCTGGGTCTCTTCGCCGGGTGTCCCCTCACCCTGTGCAGGGGACAGGGGCTTGACAGGGTCCCAGGGGACCCCCCACCCCCTGCCAACCAGAGATGATGCTCCTGGCCCAGGGAGACTCCGGGGGGCCCTTGATGTGCCAGGACCCCGGGGCGCGGCACTTTGTGCTCTACGGGATTACATCGTGGGGCGACGGCTGCGGGGAGCGGGGCAAGCCAGGTGTCTACACCCGCGTGGCCGCCTTCGCCAACTGGATCGCCCGCCAGATGCAGCGTGAGCATCACTGCGGGGGGGGGCATGGGCTAGGGCAGGGGTGCCTGGGGCAAGCAGCCCAGAGCTCAGGGCTGGGGGCAGGGGACGGGCGCTGCAGGATCCTCAAGCCCTCTAATGCTGAACCCCCCTGCCCCCCCAGAGTCACCTGCCAGCCGTGAGCCCAGCTGCCCAGAGCTGCTGGCCCTGCCCCATCTGCCCACTGAGCGCCAAGCCCCTGAGCGCGTCCGCCTCTGCTCCTTCTACGCCCGCAGCTGCAGCCCCCCCACGGCCCAGGAGGCCTGTGTCCGTGCCACCCAGGAGGCCTGCCAGACCCGGCAGCATCGATGCGGTGAGTGCCGGGGGCTGCCAGGGTGCCAGAGCTGAGTGCAAGAGCAGGCCTGGGAAGTGCCCGGCTGCAGCTGAGGGGGTCGCTGACCTGCCCAGAGCTCTGCTCTCTGCCCACCCCCGGGTGCCCTGTGCAGGGGGCACAGCTGGGGGAGCTCTGAGGGTGGTGGGGGTGGAGGGCACCGTGGGACACCTGCACACCCCTGCGCCCCCAGAGCTGCGCGCCTACGCCCAGAGACTGCTGGACTTCCTGCGCCGTGCCGAGGAGTTCTTCCAGGCCCGCCTGGACGTCTCCTTCTTCACCCAGGCCCTGCCGCGGGCCCTGGAGCAGCTCTACACCCACCTCTTCCCTACCCAGGTGCACCGGGTGACTGCAGGTACGGCCACCCCCCACCCAGCAGGTGCCCGCTGCCTGACCGCCTACCCCTATACACGGCAAATGCCACTGCCCGCCTTCTGCCCCAAACCAGGTGGGTGCCCACTAATGCTGGGCTGTGGGTGCCAAGAGCTGCTCACATCTCCACCTCCCCTGCTCGAGCCCCTGGCCCAGGGGCTGCCCAGCCAGGCAGCCAGCCCGAGCCCTGTCCCTGGCAGGCACCTGTCCTTGCTGGGGCACCAGCCCGGTCCCTACACAGGTCAGCCAAGGTGTGGCACAGCCACTGGGCTGGGGGTCCTGGCCCCCCTCTGCCCCCAGGCTCTTGGCTGCCAGCTCTGAGCCCTGTGTCAATCCCCCAGAGCAGGCCTCGGACGCAGCTCGGGGAGGACACGCTGGCCCCATGAAGCAGGCAGCAGGAGGGATTCAGAGCCCCACACGCAGGTACAGTTATGGGGGTGCGGGGAAGGGGGTAGCGCCAGTGCCTGGCACAGGCCAGTGCAATGGGGGCTGCTCCCCGCGGCATGCAGAGGAAGCAGCCAGTGCCCCGGGCTCGTGCCCTACTCAGGCAGACACCCAGGGCATGCATAGAGCTGCAGCTGTGGTGCACTGGGGCAATGGAGGGGCAGCCTCTGGGGGGGCACAGGAGAGGCAGATAGGGGCAGCAGGGAACATAACTCATGGGCCTAGGCGCAGGGCAGGGGTCCGCGGTGCTCCTGGCAACGCTCGGCTGGGGCTGGGGCTGGGGCTGGGGCTGGGGACGGGGACGGGGCCTCACCCAGCTCCCATTGCAGGGCCAGGCAGCCCCAGGCCCCCAGCCCCAGGCCCCAGCCCCGGGGGCTCCAGCTAGAGGACCAGGTGCAGGAGCTCGGCACTGCAGAGCCAGAGCCGGAGTTGGAGCCACCGCACAGGGAGGAGCAGCTCTTCCTGCAGGTAACGGGGCAGGGAGCCCATGGCTGCACCCGACCGCTGCCCCCAGCCCAGGTGGAGCAGAGCCCGATATGGGGCCGCAGCTGCAAGCTCTCTCAGTTCCCAGGGCCAAGTGGGGTCAGCAGCCTGCCCTGTGGCATTGCACACATGCTCAGGGGTCTGGGGCTCTGGCCAGGGCCCCTGCATTGGCGCTGGCGCTGGACAAGCACCCTTGGGCCCAGAGAGACAATGAGTCCCCTGCCCACCCCATGCGTCTCCGCTACCCAGACCCAGCTGCCTCAATGCACCCCCAAGCCCCAGCCCACACCGCATGCCGCTCTGCTCCTCCATCGGCCTCCAGACCAGCCAGCACTCCCCAGCGCCTGCCCCGGCCCACTTTTATAGCCTCTCCTGGGCAGGTGGCCACAGCTGGAGGAGGTAACAAGGCCCTTTGTTAACCCTGTCCAGGCTGCCACTGTGTGTGGGGGGGGGGGCGTCTGCCCTATGGCTGGCTCTGCCCCTACCCCTCAGCCCCCTCACATCATCACTGTCTGCCCCACAGGGTGAGGAGCTGCAGGAACGTGGTCGGAGCTCCCTTCGGCAGCTGTGGGCCACGCTGGGCTCTCAGACCTCCCCCCCGGGCACTGCAGAGCCCACCAGTGCCCCTGCCCCAAACCGTAAGTGCTTGGAGGGTGTCTGTGGGGGGGCACTGGGGCATGGCAGCCAGCTGAGGGCAGCAGGGGCATGGCCGTGCTGGGTGAGAGCTGGTTGCACTGTGCTCCCTGCACCGGCACCACCATGCTGCCCTGCCCGGCTCCGGTGGGGGCAGAGGGCTGCCCTCTCCCACTGGGTTATTTGACTCCCTTTGTCTGTGGCAGGATCTGCAGCCCCGGGGGGCCGCCCCACAAGGGAGAAGCGAGAGCTCCAGGGTGACGTCGCAGGGGACGAGGCAGCGGGCGACGGCCGAGGTAGGCGCAGCCCCTGACCCAGGAGACCAGCCCAGGATGCCTCACCTGGCCTCTGCCTGGTGCCCGGGGCTGGCAGGGCTGCAGGGGTCTAGGCCCAAGCCCCCACTCCCCCAGGGCCGATGCTGGCAGCTCAGCTTCCCTTCTCGCCAGCCACCATGAGAGCTGGGAGCAGGCTTACCGTCCCCCAGCTCAGTACATCTGTGCCCTGTTATCAGTGGCTGTGTTTCACCCCAGAGGTGGCTGCCGTGAAGCCCCCTACCCCCGGGAGAAGGGTAGCTCCCAGCCCGGCTTGGCTGGTGGCCGGCATACCCTGATCCCTGCACTCTCTGCCACGGTGCAGGCTGCCTGGGGCTGGCTGAGGCGGCGCGGCGCATCCAGGCCGTGCGGGAGCTGTACCGCTGGGTGCTGCAGGTGCCAGACGGGGACCTGGCCATGACCTTCCAGGAGGTGAGTGCCCACCCTGCGGCCCGGCACCGGGCACTGCCTGCCTGGAGCTACTCTGGCTTGGGGTGCAAGCAGGGCCCAGTGCATGTGGTGATCCCCCTGCCCTGGGGTGGGTGCAGTGCCCTTTGCCCCGCTCCAGAGCCTGGTCCCCATCTTGGGCTGGGTGAGGTTAATCCTGCAGCTCAAGCCCAGCAGGCCCTGCCGCCACCCTACTGCATCCTGGGTTCGAGCCCCCCACCCAGGCTTGCAAGGGGTCTTCAGGTTCTCCTTCCCTTCCTGTCCCAAACGTTGCAGGGCAGGTCCCCAGCTGCGGTGTTGCACCCGGAGCGGGCGGCATCGCAGTGCTAGACGGAGGGGTGGAGGGCAGGGGCACGGGCTTGCTGGCTCGCACTCCCCAGTGCGGAGCACCCTGCATGTGACCCCAGCCCCCAGCTCTCACTCCTCCCTCCCCTCCCCTCAGATCCTGGTGGACCTGGGCTCCAAGAACGCCAAGGGGCTGTGCAGGGCGCAGGTCCGGGCCACGGTCGGTGGCAGGGCCATGGCCTTCCCCGGCCTCGTGGGGCTGGACAGTGACTTGCTGCACCGCAGCATGCCAGGCCTGGTGGCCGCCGCGCTGGAGACCTTGAAAACCTAACAGGGATCCTGGGGCTGGGCGTTGCCCCCTGCCCCACTGGCTCCGGGGCAGGATGAGGCCAGGCAGGGGGTGTCCCCTGGAGATGGAGAACCCAACGGGCTGAGGCTGGGCCAGCCAGGACTGGACCCTCCAGCCAGGCACACTGTGCACAGTCTGCCACCGTCCAGCCCACCTACCCCGGCAGCAAGGCGAAGGCGTGGGGAGGGTGCAGGGGGCACGGGGAGAGCACAAGTAGCCATGGCAAGCCCCTTGGGGCAAACACTGCCTTGGCCCCCGGGTGGGGCAGGCCTGGGCGGTGCACCCCAGGACCGAGGACCCGCCCGGCGCTGGCTCCTGGCTTGTCAGCAGCCTCCCTGTAGCCCCGGTTGCCCCACGCCCCATCATCAGAGGAAGCAGGTGACTCTGCTGGCTGACAGAGGCCCCGTCCCCTCACTTCCCCGCAGGCTTTGGGACCAGGCTCCCGTGCACTCCCCGCCTTGCAGGGCCAGGAGGCCAAGCACAGCACAGACCCCAGCTCCCTGTGCCCGCACTGCCCTGGCGCCAGGCCCGGGCATGGGGACAGACCGCGCTCCCACTGTCTGCAAGCCCTGGGCTCCTCTCCTCAGGCTTGCCTCCCTGCCTGGCCTTGGCTACAGCCCTTCTGCTGCTCTGCCTCAGTTTCCCCATCTGTAAAAGGGCCCCAGATCTGCCTCCTAGGGGGCAGGGCAGCTGGCTCCACCTCCACATGCTGAGGGCAGGAGTGGGGCCGCTAGGACAGCTCATCCCTCCGCAGAGTCTCCCTCGGCCGACACATAGGGCCTATTTATTTGTACAGAGAACAGTTTATTTTTAAATAAATGGGTATTTTATGGTAACCCTGTCTCAGGCGTCTGCAGGGCTAGTAAGCAGGGCAGCTGGGACCCTCCCCAGCATCGCCACTGTCCCCCCTGCTCTGCGGGGTCTCCAGTGGTGACCCCAGCTCTGGTGCTGCCTGGCTCCCGCCCCTGAAGAGAGCTGGGCCTGGGATCGGGATCGGGATCGGGACCGCTCCCTGCGGGATTGGTGCTATCGGAGCAGGAAGCAGCTGCTGGCAAGTGGTGAGTGACAGGGCGGCTGGACCCAGCGCCGAGGCTGCCGTTTGCTCCCAGCCGCCCTCGCAGCAGCATTCAGAGCCACGCGGCATCCCCCTGCCCCCCGGCAAAGCCTGCCACGGCCCTGCGTGGTGCTGCCAGTCCCCAAGGAGGGAGCATTGGCCGGGGGGCTGGGGAGCCAGGATGCCTGGGCTCTCTGTCCCGCCTGGGGAAGGAACGAGCTCCACGTATCCATCAGGACTCCTGGGCTCTCTTCCAGCGCCCCGGGAGATTCCCATGGTCCTGAGCACCTGCAGCTCCAGCTGAAGCTAGTGGGAGGAGGGGTGCTGAGCTCCATGGAGAAGCAGGCCCTGGCACCAAGCTGACACCAGCGCCAGATGCTGGACATGTTGGTTAGACTGGGCAACGCAGCCCTGCCCAGGCCAGGCCGGACCCAAACGTCCCAGAGTGCGATTCCTCAGCACAGAGAGAAAAGGCCCCTCCCGGAGGGTTAGAAATGACCTGCGAACCTCCAGCGCCGGCCCTCCAGCGCCTGGGACCCCCTGCGGCGGGGCACAGAGACCCTGGTGGAGTCCCTGCTCCGTGGCCCAGCTCACCAGGACCTTCCCCGACAGTACAGAGAAGCAGGTGCTAACCGCAGCAAACACCTGGCTTCCCCCAGGAGAGGTGGAGGGGATCGGCACCACGTGGCATGCCAGCCCTGGGTGGCCACGGCCAGATGAGGCCCCATCTGCAGCCCCCGCTCTGCCTGCTGAGCTGCGAGGTCGCGGTGCCATCGGGCACCGGGCTTGGAGCTGCCAGGTCGCCTGCACCCGGTGCGCCTGGGAGCATTTGGCACGGCAGGGAGAGTCGAGGAGCCCCCAAGGCACCCGACGGCCGGCGTGGTTGTGGGGCAGTCCCCCAAGATGCTGCATGCCTGGCAGGGTCCGGGTACCGGGCCAGGCACGCTGTGCCCCTCGGCATGGTACCGGCAGAGAGGAAGCCGCCCGCACGGCCCAGCGCTGGCATCACCCGCCTGCCCCTTGCCCCTGGGGTGGGGGCAACAAGGGGACGGGATCGCAATGCCGCCTCTGATCCCTCGCCCGCGGCTCTCGCTCCCACCCCTCCCCCCGTGCACCTGCCCCTGCCCGTCTCCACCATTTCCCCCACGGTGTCTGCTCCGACTTCCGCCCTTCCCAGCGCCCCGCCGACAGTCCAGGCCCGGCTCAGCCCCGGCACTGCGCTGCGGTATGGGGGGTCCAGCCCTGCGGCTCGCCTTGCTCTGGGCCGTCGCCCTGGCGGGTAAGGATAGGGGCGCCGGGGGTGCCAGCTGCGAGGGGCCGCAGAGTCTGCGGCTGCTGGTGGCTTTGTGCTGATCCCGGAGGGAGCCGAGCCCCGTGGAGCCCCTGAGCTGGCGGGACCTCAGGAAGGGCCTTTCCTGGCAGGGGGGCGACAGGCTTGGGGTGACCAGCCGCCCCCGCCCCTTGCAGGACAGAGGCGCTCCCTGCCCCAGGCCCCGGGAGGTGTGTTCTGGGGGCAGTGGCAGGAGCACGAGGCTGGGGCCAGGACCCCTGCCCCTTTGCCCCCCACCTGCCTGG